TTGCTTTGGATTTAATTTTCTCTCTTAAAAACAACATTTTAGGGGTGAAGTTTAAAGCTCTGAGTTGATTCAGTTTCTTTTGTAATGAAAGCATTTAATTCCATACATTCTTTGGAAGCATAGCTTTAGCAACATCTCATAAATGTTTCTACGTATATTCTTTGTTCTTAAACTCAAAGTATTTTAAAAAAATTTTCTTGAAACCTCATTTTTCATCCACCCATTTGAAATACATTAATTTCCAGGCTGAAGACTTTTAAAATCTGTTACTTGTTTTTAATTTCGTTCTCAATGGTGGGAGAATATAGTTTGCATGACTTTATTTATTTGAAAGCTTCCATCATTTGTTTTGGGATGCAGGGTATAGATAGGCTCTTCTGATGAATGTCCTGTGGAAACCGCTTGAGAAGACTGCACACTCTGCACTTGTTGTGTAGCATGTTCTGCAAGTGTCAGTCGCCTCGGTTGGTGGATGGAGCTGTGCAGTTCAGTATCTGGTGATTTTCTGTTTGCCGTTACCACCAATTACAGTAGACGAGCTCTGACGTCTTTAACTCTCACTGGGGATTTGACCTTCGGACCTTTCAGCCATATCAGTTTTTATGAATTTTTTTCATTAGCATGTGAAATCTTTGCACATTTTGGATGGTTACACTCCTTTCATCATTGTGCAGTATAACTGGCTTATTCCTACTAATCTCTCTCACTTTGAAACCTCTTTCTCAGAAATTAATAAGACTCATGACAGCGTCTTTGATGTGTGTTAGCACACTGTAAGATTTTCTAAGCTTTTAGTCTATCCATATTATATTTGATGATGGTGTATAACTTGGTCTTTATTTTTCCATTATATATATTTCAGTGTAGTTATTGATCTTTTTAAATTCAATTTTACTTTTTATTGTTTTTTTTTTGTCCTCCCTTTTTTTCCCTTGTTTCTGTTTTGTAGATCATCTGAGTGTATTGTAGTTTTCTGTTTGAGTTTGTCTACTGAATTTGTGCTTCTTTGTCTAGTGTTCTTAGTGTTTACAATAGGGATCCCAATCTGCATTCTGAATTGTGGGCCATGTAGAGTTAGTATTTACTTCTTCCAGTGGATTAGCGGACGCTCCTTTCTGTCTGGGTCCTGACCCTCCCATGTGTGCTGTGCTGTCTTTCATGCCCTTTAGTACACTTCTACTTCAACTATCATTTATATATACATTTATCCAAATATTTACCATCTCCGTTACCCTTTTTCTTTCCTAAAAAACCAAGCTTCCTCTGATGATTATTTTCCTATGAGCTAAAGAACTTTTGGAGATGCCATTTTTAGAATGAATTTGATAGCAAGAGACTCTGTCTTTTCCTGGGAATGTGTTTGATCTTGCTTTCATTACTGCCGGTATATGTTATGATTTACATATGTCATGTCTACCAAACACTCACGTTTTGAAGTCTTGTTTCTCAGTGCAGCAGCATCTAAATGTAGGGTGTGAAAGGTAACTGGACTATTGAGGCTTCAATTCCATCAGTGAGTTAGTCCACTGATGAGTCGTGCATGGCTCAGTGTACTGGCAGGAGGTGGGGCTCGGCTGGAGAGGGTAACCTCCCTGGGTGTGCCTTAGAAAGGCGCATCTTGTTCCCAGACCCTTGCTCCCTTTTGGCCTTTGCCCTTTCTTCCTGCTTCCTGGCTGCTGTGAAGTGAGCAGTTTCCTCCACCACAGCCTTCCACCATGACATTCTGCCTTACCCTTCACCTAAAAGCAAAGGGTCTGGTGTACCATAGCCTGAAACCTCTGAACCTGGAAGCCAAAGTAAACCCTTCCTCCTCTCAGCTATCTTTCTCAGATATTCTGTTACTGACTGACACAGTGTGGAATTAGTTCTGTGTGTTTCTTTAGAGCAATTTAAAAATCCTGTTCTAACTGTGCTTTCTCATGAGAAAATCTATTATCATTCAAACCACTATTCCGCTGTCTGAAATGTGTTATGTTTCTCTGGTTGCTTTCAAGATTTCCTCTAGTATTTGGACTTACCAGTTTTGCAGTGATAATGGCATGGGTGTCTTTGTTTATTTTGTTTGAATTTTTCCAAGCTTCTTACATTGGTAAGGGTATGTGTTTCATTGAATTTTATGAAAGAATGTATAAAACTTTACCAGTCATATTTTTCTTTGAAATGCCACCTTTCTCTTTTGTGACTCCAGTAACTGGAAGTTAGATGCGTTAGTATTGTGATGAATGGCTTTGAGACTCCCCTCATTTATAAATTTTTTTTCCACCTTATTCTGTAGTTTGAGCAATGTCTATTGTTCTGTCTTCAAGTTTATGGATTTTTCTTTCATTTCATTCATTTATTGTTCTGATTCAGGAAGGTTTTTTTAGCCGGCTGTTGTATTCTTTAGTCTTCAATTTTACAGTTGATTTTCCTTATTGCTTCTGTTTCTTGATGACTTTTTTTTTTTACTTTCATTTTAGAAGTGGTCATTGTTACTTCTTGAGGTTTGGTTAATAAAAACTTCTTTAAAGATTTTGTCAGAAAATTCCAACATCTGCCTCACCTCAGCATTGATCCTTTTCTGTGTGAAATACTGACATTTTCTGGTTCATTCTGTGTTGAGCAATTTTAGGTTGCACTGTGGACATTTTGGTGTTCTCTGATCAGCTCTGACTCAGTGTCTTCGGAAAATATTGATGTTGTTTCAGCTGACAATTGATCCTGCTTGGTTTGGGTGCTAAGCTTCTCACTCACTACAGCCTACTGTCAGGATGATTTTCAAGGACTTTGTTGGATGATGTGACGTATGAGTTGTGATAAAACTATGCTAAGTGCTTAAATAGAAAATAATTTTTATGGTAGAAGAGTTGGTGTCATGAATCCCTTCCAGAATACTCCTTGCTTTGAACACATTTGTCCCATCATCCTTGCTACTTTCTGAAGCCAGTCTGGAGTTCTCTTTCCTGAGTGTCTTTGGTTGTGCCGTCGTGGCTGCTGCAGTGTCCTGAGCTGATTCAAAGTGTGTCTCTTTCATAGTCATTTTGACTTTGGGGATGGACCAGAAGTCTCATTGTGCCAGATCTGGTGAATACAGTGGGCAAGTACACCCCAGCATGCTTTTAGGAGCCTGCTTTTCTGTTGGATGGGAGTTGGAAGCAATATTCACTGCAATTTTATAATCTTTTTTTTCTGTATTTAGGACAGGGTCTACAGGGTGTACAGAGTTTCACTATATAGATCGGACTTGAAGAGACTCTCCTATTTTCAGCCTCCCAAGTGCTGGGATTGCAGGCATATGCCACCACGCCCAGTCTCAATCGTCATCTCAGCATGCCCCAGAGGTGGGGCCGGCAGGGCATGCCAGGGATCCAACTCCCAGCCTCTGTGCTCTGCCTAAGCAGGTGCTTTAGTCCGCTGAGCTATCAAGCTGGCCCTTCACTGTAATTTTAATCACATTTCTTAAAGACACTCATGAAAGGAGTTCTAGGGGTGCTCTGGTGGCAAGCAAACAGTGGGTAGTATTGAGCAGAAGAGAAGTATTTCGAAGGGAATCACAACAATCAATCTTTTACTGGGATAAATTTTTAAAATTAAAAATGTACTGCATTTTTCAATCATACCGTTTACTCCCTAATTGCTTTGTACAGTAATCTGTTGGGGCAAATGCTTGCCCCTGTTACTGCAGGCTCAACATAGTTAGAACTGAGCAGAGGCGAAAGTTAGTAGCAGTGCTGTTCCCAGCCTCCTTTTTTTCATCCTCTCCTCAACACTGTTTGATTTCCTGGTATCCCCTTTCTACTTCTCTGCCTAAAACACCAGAGAATATTAATTTCTCTAACCTTCCACTGTGCTGTATCTGTCTCCACTGGACCAGCACAGGGAGGAGTAAGGGAAGATGATCTGACCTATGCCTGAGGCACACAGATTCCCCACCAGGGAGCAGGAACCTTCCTGGTAGCTGCCTGTTTCTGCTGCTTCTATGGGAATTACCCAGATGTGAGGTGAGAGAATGGAGAAACCAGAGACTTCTCGAGTTTTGCATCCAGGATCCTGGGTGAGCAATAGCGGGCTCTCTTGGCGCTTCCTTCCCCACCCGCACATGGTGCAGAGCTCAGGTTCCAGGCTCTTTGGAGAGCCACATCAGGGAGTGCTGGAGAAAGAGGCCTGGAAAGCCATCGCCAGATCCATGGTGCTTCAAGTTCAGTTTCCTTCTCTGCCCCCAGTTGTTCTCATGGTCCTCAGAGCTGAGCCACAAGTCCCACCTGGTTATTTGTTTGCAGTCACATTCACCAAGGGGAGCTGGCCCATGTGCACAGCACCGATGAATTCTTTCTCCCCTTCTTTGCCTGCCCTTTCCCTCCCTTCATCTCTCTGTCTACTTCCCCTTTGGAAAGGCTCTGTCTCCTTGTTTCCTATTATCTAGATTTTAATATGCTCTTTAATTTATTTAGACTTTGAGTTTCTTGTACAAGAGAAAGAATGACATTTAAGCTTCAGTGCCCAATTTATTTCACTCAATGTTATGGTCTCAGGATGCACCCATTTTTCTACAAATGACTCAAGTTTATCTTTCTTTATGGCAGGGTGGTGCTCCATTGTGTGTGAACACCTCATTTTCTTTATACCCCATTCATCTATTGGTGAAAATATAGAGTGTGTTTCCATGTATTCCATGGGTGGACCCAGCCAGTGTGGGTTCACCAAGGTAAAGGCATTCAGGGGCGCACAGTGTGTGAGAATTTCCTGATCTTCTCACACCCGGAAGTGCCTTCTGAAGGGCTTTGGCTTTTGCTGAGCCCTGTGCATTTGAGCCCCGAGGCCTGGCTCTCTGCCTCCAGAGAAAGCGGAAGCATGGTCTTCTTCATGATGTGGCTGGGGACATTGGGCTTAGAAGGGTCAGGTCAGGGTCATCTGGGAATAGAATGTGGGTTATGAATCATTGAGAAAGAAAGATCCAAAGGACGCTGTGATGAGGTGAGACCAGAGGGCTCCTGCTTGATGCCGTGGTCTTCTCTCTGCAGGTTGGACGAAGGGGATGCTGTGATCATGCACCCCGGGATTGTGTGCATCATGGTGAGGCTGCTGCCCCGGCTGTACCTCGAAGACCACCCACAGGTACCTGTTGATGGGATGGTGCATGTCTGTGTC